TGCCAAATTCAGGCTTGGAGATTTTGGAGTTAAAGACTCCCCACGTTCTGGTCGACCATCGGCCGTTTTTGACGAACAAATTCAGGCTTTGCTGGATGAAAACCGGCGTTATTCAACGCGGGAGATGTCAGAGAAGCTCAGTGTGTCGCATACAACGTTTGAAAACCATTTGAAGAAACTTGGCTACGTAAGCAAGCTCGATGTTTGGGTTCCGCATAACATAAAGGAAATTCACCTAACTAAGCATATCAACATCTGCTTTTCTCTGCTGCAACGGATTAAAAACGATCCTTTTTTGAAGCGGATCATTACTGGCGACGAAAAGTGGTTTGTTTACAATAATGTCCAACGAAAAAGATCATGGAGCAAGAAAGATGAGCCACCCCAAGCCACATCAAAGCCCGATATCCATCAGAGGGAAGTTATGCTGTCTGTTTGGTGGAATTGGAAGGGTGTAGTGCATTTTGAGCTGATGGGACGGAATGAAATCAACAATTCAGATGTGTACTGTCGCCAGCTATCCAATTTGGAGGAAAAAATTAAGGAAAAGGAGCCGGCATTAGCTAATCGCAAGGGTATAGTCTTTCACCATGACAACGCTAGGCCTCACACATCTTTGGTCACTCGGCAAAAATTAACGGAGCTGAATTGGGAAGTGCTTCCACATCCACCTTATAGTCCGGACTTAGGACCTTCAGATTACCATTTGTTTCGCTCTCTTCAAAACTCTTTGAATGGTAAAAACTTTGATTCAGATGAGGCTGTCGAAAACCACTTGTCCCGATTCTTTGGTGGAAAAGATCAAAAGTTCTTCGAGCGCGGAATTATGCAGCTGCCCGAGAGATGGTCATTAGTGGTCGAACAAAACGGCCAATACATAATTGATTAATTATAAGTCCTGATATAAATAAATCATCTTTGAAAATATTGAAAAAAAAAACGACATGACTTTCTTGCCAACCCAATACATAATGCTGTCCACTTAGCACAAAGTTTAAATATATACGTGCTTTTGTAAATCTAATAATTTTTTGTAAATATCAGAGATTCTCTTTTATATTTTATTTTTTCATAACTCTCCCCGTACAGATAGTTGCCCTTAGAATAATTGTAACATTGATTATAGATGCACCCCACGCTTTTAACTCTGAATTTAGGGATCTTGTTTATAATTATATACATTACTCTGAATTTAATAATTTTGTATGTAATTATAAATTATTTTCTTCTTTTTAGTTCGGTTATTTATAAAAGCGTATATTTTTTTAGTTTTTTTAAAGTATTATTTATTTTCTATTTTTTAGTGCGCGCAGATCGCGCTCTAGCTCTGTCTCTCTTTCTCCTTTGCGGAGGATCTTTAATAGAATTTATCAATCCTGACGATCCTAATCAGGATAATGAAAAATGTTTATCAATTTATTGCATTGTCATCGGTCCTTGAGAAGTATGCAAAGTTTCATGTTTATTAGATATTTGGAAACCTTTGAAAATAGTGTTCAAAGATTCCGTTACACACATACATAGATACATACATACATCCCGAACTAATAAAAACGTATTAAAAAAAGATAAGCACATACAATTTAAAACTGAAAAAAATAAACACAATTACGTAAACAAATAAGAATAGCTGCATGCACACGCGAAGTGAACGGGAAGTTTATAAACACAAGATAGAAGATTTAAATTGAAACCCTGGTTTATGCAAAATTAAAACACAAATCGATTTGCTTGCTGATTTTAGAAGGTTAAAAAAAAAGTAGTTGACATACCATTCCAAATTTTTTTTATTCTTGTAACACACATACTGAAGTTTTCATTACACAGTTTTAAAGATTACATCGGACAAGTTATGGCCGCCGTTTTCAATGCACTGAGATACCCGATTTTCGAAGCTCAGCTGAACTCTCTCAAGCATATCGACGGGTATCTTTGCGATTGGTTGCCGAATGTTATTCTTCAGGTCGTTTAGGATTCGATGCCGATCGGTGTAAACGATCTATTTGAGGAAGCCCCATAGTAAGAAATCGCACGGCGCCGGAATGAGCGCGCCGGCCACGTGACCCCTCAATGAGATTAGACGACCGGGGAAATGTTTCTTCAAAAGATCCATTGACGTTCGTGCTGTGTGGGCCGTGGCTCCATCTTGTTGAAACCACACATCACCAAGGTCCAGTTCATCAAGTTTTAGAATGAAAAATTCTTCAATCATCTGTCTATAGCGAGTACGGAAGGCACGTTGAGTGGCAATTACGGAACGACCGTTGGAAAAGTAAGCCTCGTCCAATGCATGATGGCGACTGACTGCGGAGTAGACGAAACTTCTGGAAGTCCCCTAAAACATGAGACACTCCCCACCCTTACCCGACCACTCCCCGCCGCTTGGCGCCAAAAACAAATCAGCAAGTTTTTGTGACGCGCCCTGTATATCTTATATGTTGCAATATTGATAAACCCCTCCACCCCTCAAAACCCAGCAGGGCAGTATTCCATCGGTAGCGGTTTTTCTTTTGCAATTACCCGTCAGTCCTTGACGTTCCTAGGGTTTGCCAGGATTTGATTGAGGAGTTTTTGTGCTAGGTATTGCTGCTGAAAGACAGTTTCATGTGGGGTTTCACACAGTAAGAGTTATCTTAGTTGTTTTACCCTACCCTACCACTTTCTGAAATCTAAGGATAACATACATTCCCTTCAATACCAAAATTCCTTTCCTCCGATTCCTGGTGTCATATTCTAAAAACAAAAACAAATCTCATGAGTTTCGGTAAGAGAGCTCCGAAACAAAGTAGGTAATGAAAATTCTACCTGTCGGATATGCCAAACAAAAAATTGTTGTTTTTGAAGGGATTTGGAGCAGCGGTTCCGAAATTAGATTGAGATGATGAAAAATATTATTTAACAAAAAAAGGAATCAAATCGTCTCGTTGTTGAAATCGATTTTTTCGCAGCTCTTATGGCAGCTGAAGTATTCACAAGTGTTTTGCAATTTAATTTATTAAATATTGGTAAAAGGTAAGTGTCTTATTTTTATTCAGTTAATAAATTCATTTGCAGATTTGCTTTTGAACCTGGATTTTTTTTAAGCCTGGACGGTGTGAACGGGAAAGCCATTATTTTTCCAGAATTTGTTTTATTTAATTGGTATGTTAATTAATTAAGTGTTGTTCGACGGACAAGACGATGAATTGCCGTCGGCAATTTTTACTCCCACGGATTTTTTCTTGAGGCTGGAGATATAAAGTTGGGGAAACAGGCCCTTTGATTTCCTCTAGCCGGCTGGCCGTAGAATATCCAGTTAAGTAGATTAGGTTAGAGGGATGAGTGTCCCTCCTTAACTGCAGGCCTAGACACGCCGCTCCCAAGAAGACTAAACTCCTAACTCCTGGATGCTCAGTGATTCGAGCAGGTCACGCAGGTGAGCGACATCTACTCTCAAAAGTTTCTGCATGAACGACTGGGGAAACATGTGAATCATGTCATTAGTCTCTTCCATCACGCGCATGTATTTTGAGAGATTTGCCGTGTGTCTCACGAATGCAAATTCCTCCCGTACTAATATTCGACCATCAATGATGGGAATGTACTTGGCCTGCGAGTAGTCCGTGAATTGTGCCGATGTTAGGGTCAAAAGGAATAACAGAGGTATAGAAGTGAACCTGTTAATTTAAGAAGCCCATCACCAAACATATAAAATAAAGCGTAGAAGACCGTAAGTAAAAACAATGATAATAATGATAATGGCAAATGAAAACAAGAAAACTTATGGGCTCCTCACTAACCGTCCTGATGGTAGCAACACGTCGGTTGTAAGGCAGGGCCTCGTTGGGGTTTGCAAAGGCTTTCTTTCGTTCGCCAAGCATTTTGATAAAGACCTCTCTAACTAGAGGCGGCGCGTCCGAGAAATAAATGTTGGTAAAATTGACGTCGGAGCACGATTGGAATTCTAACTTTTCTCCTTCGGAGCCCCATTTGAGGTGGCCGGAAGCTAGACAAAGCGATGCCCCTTCCCGTTTTAACAGGTCAAAGCCAATTATGGCAACAAAGGAGGACAGATCTGATAATATGAAGAACGTGGCCTTCAAGTTAAATAGGGAGACATAGCACTTTTTAGTGATAGTGGTGACGCCATGGATCGTGAATGACGATTCTGCTTGGCGCACGTCCTTCAATCCCTCGTATGGACGGATGAAATTTTTTGCCGTCTGATGACGGGTAGCAGGGATTTTCGCCTAAAAAATTAATAGCGTCCGTAATATGTGGTTAACCCTTTGCCTCTTGGGCGGGCCGGATCGATCGGACCCGGACGGCATCCTATTTTGGTAGGCCGGCGCTTGAGATGGCTTGAGCTTCCTAGACATTGAAGGTTCAACCTCCATGGGCTCTGGGGTGTTCTCACGACGCCTGTCGTTGCTCGGAGCGGAGTGCATCTGAGCCTTGTGTTGTTTAGTGAAATGCGGGTTTTTTCCCGCACTCACTTGGGGGTGCCCTTGATAAGACGTTTGTTAGCGATCTTGCGCCTTTGGAATTTACTTAATGTCCCTAACCTCCGATGTTGCGAAAGTGTATCTCTCGTGGTTTGATTCCACCTCTTGAGCCAATGCCAACGCGGTTGGCATGTCTTTCGGCTTTGGCGAAAAAAGAACATCGAAGAGGCTGCGCTTGAGGCCCGAAATAAAAATACGGAGCGCATCATCCCGGAATTTTTCGCACAAAATTCTTGCCGCCGAAGCTTCGTACGACATAGTTGCCTTATTCGTGAGTAAGGTGAGTCTTTTCTCAAGCTCGTCATAGGAGCGTGAGGCTTCCCTGTCTGATGGTGCCCATCTCCTGCTTGATGACGTGAATCTGTCGCTTGTCACGAGGATAGCATTGCATCGGCTGGGCCCCTAATCTTACTCCTAATTATGACTACCGCCTGATAATGGCGTGAGCTATCAACATAATTCCAATATATGTAATATGCGGCTACTGCCGCTTGCCACCAAGAGACGTATGTTTCTTGTGCCCCCGTAATTTCGGGCAGGCATTTAACGGCATCTTAAGGCTCATTGCATTGAACATTGCCTTTGATGTCAATGGGCTTGATTTTTGGAGCCTCTGCTTGTGTGGATGCGACTTGCGTCGCTGCCACTTGGGCGGCCAACTGCTCTATGACTTGGGGCAATTCCTGTTCTTTGCCGACCCTGTCCGCCAGGGCATGGTTAACCGCGGCCTGAATTATAGCTTTAAGCTGATCTGAGTACATAATTTCTACTGTAGGGTTAGCGGGTGCCCGTATTGGGGTAGAAGTACGCGGGGGCCCTTCACTATCAGACTCTGAGTCACTAGCGTATGGTTTGTTTTTTCCTATACTGATGGAATGGAGAGCTCATATGTAGCCAAGTTAAATCTTGTAAATAAATGCTTGCTCAAGCTATTCTGCCCATGAAGGCAATTGGCATGGCAAAGGGTATGCGGGGACGGAGCCGCCTTTAGCAACAAAGTATTTGAGCTCGTCGAACAGAGCTGCTGCCCTGTCAAGCAGCGATAGGGCCAGGGGTATGCGGGGACTGAGCCTCCGCTACGAAAAACAAAGAAGTGAAGAACAACAATTTGCCACACAAATACACATGGAGCCGTATCGGCTTTGCAGCAATGGAGTGGGGGCAATGAATTATGTACTGCGAGGCAAATACTAAGAATTTAGGGTCTAAGCAAAAAGACACAACGAATAATATAAATGAATTCACAATTTATGAATATCCAAAGGGCAGAATTAAACGCCGATGTTTAGTGAAAAATAATTTTAAATAAATTCACGTCTATTTTTTTTTTTCACCGGCGGCCTTACGCTCAGGCCGATATATCTAATATTCGTACTTATTTGTGGCAATAAAATAAAATGCAAACAATACACAGACAGCCATAACAACGTAAAACAAATATTATTATCGCACATATAAGTCACCAAATGTATACACGAATACACGATGCCCCTTGCAATAAAGCCTTTTACGGCTGATGGCAGGTTGCAAACACGATCCTTGCAAACACCTTTTTTTTATGCATCAGGTCGATCCCAACCCTTAAGGAAACCTGGGTAACGCTTAATCTTGACGCCATGTGGTACGTTGGCGATGTGGTTTGACCGCATGGTTGCCGGCGTTGAGGAGTCGAAACGTCGTGAACGTGGTGAGATATCGCACCTGGTTGCCGGCGTTGAGGAGTCGAAACGTCGTGAACGTGGTGAGATATCGCACCTGATCGGGACTAAGGACGACTCAGTACTGGTAAGACTAAGAATCTCTTCACGGCGATCGCCCTCGCACTGATTTGAATGAAAAAGTATAAAACTAATCGTTCTGGCACCAAGGGGGTGCTTTTGGCACGCCTGCCTTATAAGGTGATTGCGCTGGCTGTATAGAATTATATAGGAATTTGTTCAACGATCCATCGGAAGCATATAAAATTGGCTTTGAAAACACAAAACACGCTTCTAGTGGCTGATGTGGCCCTGTGAGTATCAATCTTATAATTATTTCTTGCCTAAGAAGAGAGCCTAAAATGTTGTTCCTACATCAGCACAGGAGCACCAAAGGACAGCTGAGGACAGACGTAAACTGTCGTTTCTGACTTACTTCTTAAGGTGGGAGTTCTGACGAAATAACAGGGAGAGTTTAGCGGAATTCCCGCTACTTGCAACTTCGAACTTCAGTGGTGGGTTTTGGAGAGAGGGCGGGCAAGTTGAAGATTGGGACCTATTCAAACAGATTGATGGAATTGGTTTTTGTCGTCTTGTTGCAAGAAATATAAGTTGATTTAGGTAATTCCGATTGTTAGTGTTCTCGAAAAATAGTCTAGATTCAAAGCTATCTAAGTTTCGACCTTTGTAGTATGGAGAATAAAAGTTTAATAAATTCTGCTTTAAATAGATTTTCTTAATTCAATCCAAGTTTGCTTATTTTTTAGATAAAGTTCATATTTTATTATTATAACGTTATTAACGTTTTTAAATAACCAAAATGTGTACAGTTTCAGGCATAATAAGAATCTTATTTTTCGTTTTTCTTAACTCTACTTGTAAACGCAGGATGCAAACAAAGTTAATAATTATAATTATATTTTAAGCAAAACTTATTAAACTTTCATTTTGCATACTGAATTTTGTTGTAATACGCTTCCCCATTATTTTACAACGGTCGAATTTTCGAGGTGTATCATATTGGGTAGGAGTGTTGTATATTAGTCGGAACGGGAAAGATCGGACGACTATATCATACAGATGCGATAGAAACGATCGTTAAATGCAGAGAAAAAGGGGATACTGAGAATATAAAACATTACATTATGGATGACATGATGGCCTTCTCATCCAGAACAGTTATTTATATGCTCGCCTGATATTTGACTTTGCCGTCATGAGGCGATCGTAACGCGTGGCTCAGGGGTTAGAGCACCCGTCTGCTGAACCGGCTAGCGCGAGCTTAAATTCCGCTCGAGAAAACTTTTTTCTTACTTTATGTTTTAATTTGTTAATTCAATGAATTTTCTTTTAAAAATTGTTATTTCTATTAAAGATTGACCAACACAATTAAAATAAATTAAAAACTGGGGTTAAATAAGATAACAAAATTATAGTACATAAAAAGTACCCAAACTCTCGAAAATATAATTTTAAGTTCATATTAATAGGACTCAATTCTCTATTCCGATTTTCATTTAGACGAATTCTACGTAGTTTAAAGAGCAAAACGTAATATATTTATTTATTTTTTTTTTTTATTATTTTTTTTTTTTTGTGTTGTCGGACTTTGTGTTAAAAGAAATATCCCGTAAGGGAAATACCTCAGGACAGAATTCTACATTGAACGAAACACTATTCGATTCAGGCACCTGAATATCGCGCGTGCCACTTTGCTGAACCGGGGACGATGCATAAGGCCATCCCTGCTCGACATAGTTTTCTAGGTCCGACTGGGAAGACCCTGTTGCGCCCATATCCATATTTGATGGTGCCGGGTGGCTGAATGGGGTCAAAATCTTAAAGTATAAGGATGACCCGACGAGAAAGTGGGTGAGGCAAACGGTCTGACAGGTGGAAAAGCTGTGGGACGGGGCCAAGCTGGAGGTGGTAGACAGGGAACTAATCCCAACCATCCCAAAAGCAAAGGTACTCTTCCCCATCGCTAATCAAGGGGACCGGTCGTTAAAGCTTCTCTAGCGTCAGAACTCGGGCACCCCAATCGGAGACTGGAAGGTATTGCACATTATGAACCCGTTATCCAAAGAGGGCGGCCACGGCGTGGTCCTCCAGATAAACAAGGCGGCGGAGAACATCCTGTATAGGTGTGGATGTAGGTCAGTGTACGTCTGAAAACGGTGACCTGACGATAGTGCTCAACCCGTCGAGTGGCGTTGAGCCCGGTACCCATGTCCCTAAGAGTGTTGCAGCTCCATCTCCATAAGAGCAAGGTTGCGTCGGCGGAACTCCTCATTGCCATGGATTGCTTTGGGCAATGCCGTCGCCAGACTAAGGGTACTCAAACTACAACGCTTTTTACCCACCATCGGTAAGCAGGGACAGAACCGCCGTACTCGTACGGAAGGGTCTTCAAGCTAACCTTATGTCTCATTACAGCTCGGATGATCTGAATGTGGTGTTGCTTAAAAGCAAGAAGAACCGCCTACTGGTAGCTTCCTGCTACATGGCACACAATAGTCCGGCCCACCAGAAGAACTCAGGAGCCTGGTAGAATCCAGCCCAAAAGACCAGCAACTGCTGGTGGGTGCAGACGCCAATGCGCACCACAGCGTGTGGGGAGGCCCCGATATAAACGACAGAGGTGAGTCACTTTTAGTCTTTAGGAACCTTCGGAATACTAACTGGGGAAAGTTCAAAGAAATGATCGCTTGTAAAATCGCAACTTGTCCGGGCAGTAAAATCCGATGAGGATAGAGAAACATAAGCACAGACGTAATAATGGACCGCCTAGGAGCGACCAACAAGCACCCCGCCATCAACTTCTGGAAAATCTACTTATCTACTAATCTCGAAAACTACTAAGTTGCAGACGGGTACAATTAGACAATCACCGCTTCCATGGTGAAAGTAAGGCGGAGACCTATCGCCCATCCTATGGAATCTAGTAGTTGGCGACCTAATCAAAAGGTTCGAGTGGAAGGCCCCAAAGATAATAGCCTATGTTGACCCTTAGTTCGATTATGGAATCAACACTCAGGGAGATATGTGAGTTTACGGACAAGGTAAGACTCAATATCAATGCGAATAAGACAGACCTCATTCTATTTACCAAGAGATACAAGGACCGCCATGGATCCCCCAAAAAATCAATAACAAATCAATAACCCCGAAAACACAAGTTAAATACCTTGGCACTGTACTGGACAGAAAGCTGGGATGCATACCCAATGTACCAAGGAGGGTGATAAAAGACCACACTTGTGCAATATGCATCCAGAAAGATGCTCAGCAGAGAGAGGAAAAGAGGACATACAAAAAGCTAATGGGAGAATCTAGCGGCAGGCACTGCTCTGCATATCTGGGGCACTGATGTCAACCCCCACAAAACTGCGGGAAAGGCTGCACAACGCCTAGAAGCGATAGGAAGTATGTCGCCACAGGGATACGGGCACAGCTCAATTTTTCAAACCGTGATCGTTTGTTGTCATCTTTCCAAGTGAACGGACGAGTTTTCTGTTAAAGTTTAAAAATAACCCCCGGGGTTAACTTAAATTTTCTATTTTGTGTTAATAACTTCCCGTTCACTTCGCGTGTGCATGCAGCTATTCTGATTTGTGTTTATAATTGGTTTTATTTCCCAATTTAGTTGTGCTGCTAGTGCTAGCTCTTGCATATTTTGCATTTCCTTTTTGTGCCTTCTTCGTTTAGCTTTTGTTTGTGCCGTCGCAACAGGTATTCGTTTTTGCTTTTTATATCCACCGCTCTCCCACTCTCTCGCTTTCGCTGTACCGCTGCACTTCTTATCTTATCTGATCTCCCACGCCCTCCCGCTTTCTCGCTCTCGCTGTGACTCTTCATTTCTTATCTTCATAGCTACCTTCATTCGCCAAAACCTGCAAAATGGCTATTTCTGCAGGTGACCTTACAATCGGCTTCTGGCTGTGCGACAACGTCATGCACGCCAAGTGTATTGGGGTTGCAGCTCGGACGGTGGACGATGTAAGGAAAAACATCGGCCTGCGTTACTGTTGTGAGGCCTGTCGCGATGTAGAAAGGGAAATGACGTCTTTCATGCGGCAAACCAGGGCATTTTAACGAGTTTTCGTAAAACTCTTGATATATTCTTGGCGCTGACCACCCAATTCAATAGCCTTACGCTATTAAATGCGTCTCCTAGGCGCAAAAAAACAGCTATTGGTGGGCAGCACGTAGACGGACCCCAACTACCTGCAATGGGCTCTCAGCAGCATCCTCCTCGGCACAGCCCTCGACCTCAGCATGAATTCCAAGAGTGCCCGTACCGCCGGTGATTTCCGTTTTGTCCTCTGGGAGGTCGCAAATATTGACCCCTCAAAGTCCCGTGTATACCGATATATCTGCCCAGGGTGTTAGGCTCGGAATACCGGCCGAAAATGGCACGGCAGATAACCAATCTGCCTATTTTTTGGAATCAATCTTCCGCTATTCAGATGGTTTCCAGTAGACTTTTGGATAGAGACCAGTTGGTAGTCCTAGGAGATTTCCACCAATTCTCTCGATGCCCCTACAACATGGTACGCTGGCTTGTTCGACATTTCGCTGTCTCAAGTCAACCATGTGCTAAATTCCTTACAGCGCTTGCCCGATCTTTGCTTCGTCTCTGATCCTGCGAGAGTCAGTTTAGCAAGGGTGGCGCCCCTGACGCAGCCCGAAGATCCTTATCATCCAACTTTCGATGTGACTCTTGATATTGGGTGTGACGTACAGAATATTTCTGATCGTCCAGCCAATAAAGTCCTATGTTTTCGCAAAACGGACTTTGAACGGCTGAATAATTTTATAAAAGAGTTCAATTGGTCCGATCTATACATGTGCACTGACATGGCAGTTGCCGTTGATATTTTCTACAGTGCCATGAATTCATTTTTTACTGAATGTGTTCCGTTATATTATCCGCCAAGCTCGAATAAACCGCCGTGGTTTCCTAAAGAGTTGAGCCGACTTAAAAATAAAAAATCTAGACTGTATGCTAAATTTAAAATCACCGGTTCTCAATCTGAACTTTCATCTTATATATCAGCTCGGTCAAAATTTACCGTGATGAACGCGCAGTGTTATAAAAACTATTTAATTCGTTGTAGGGCCCAGTTCTCACTGGACCACAAACAGTTTTATAATTTTGTTAACACTAAACGTAAGAAAATACTACCGCAAATAATGATCAGGCAATAGCCGATCTATTTTTGCAGTTTTTTTCAAACAACTTATTCAAGCTCTTCGTATTTCACCAGACTTATTCCTACGACATACCCAAATCAAACTTAATTTTTTGTTCTAGCCTAAACGAATGCTCTCTCCTTTTTGATCTTCATCGTGTTAAGCCAGTTTATTCGCCAGGTCCCGACGGAATTCCTGGCTGTGTGCTTAGGTATTGTGCCAACGCCCTGTGCTATCCCCTTCTGAAATTGTTTACCTTGTCCTTGGAAACTTCCCACTTTTGATTTTGAGGAGGGCATTAATTTATGCCACCTATTAAGCGAATTGATTTAGCGAGGGGTTTGTTTTGTGTTGGCGTAAAATTAGTTATGTTTTAATTTGTGTGTGCTTGTGTGTGGTTTGGTTACAAAGTTTTTGTGTGTTTT